GTATATATGTTTTTGACAATTTTATCATACTGCGTAAGACTATCGAATTTATGAATGTGTTCATTACGAAGTACGCAGAATACGAAGAATAACGCAAATGGAAATTTTCATGAATAAATGAGTAGGAACAAAGTTTGTTGGGGAAATTTCGTCAAAATAATTGATTAAATTATACAAAAAGTATTGAAGCAAAGCAGGTCGTGAAGAAAGACGTATCTAAAGTTAAAGAAGTTCAAGAAGAGGTGACGACACAATTAGTCAAATTATACAATAAATTCATAAATTGAATAAGGAAAAATTGGCAGACATTAACGGACAAACAAAGAAAGACGTGTAATAAATATTTTGGCAGAATCGGGGTTAGAGTTTTGCACTCGTTTCAAGCAGATAATACAAAAGTAGTAGTTCCCAGCTCGATACATCAGCTAATCAACAAGGAAATACAAGAGGAACAAAGTGACAAGGATTTAGAAGACGAAACAAGCGACATAGAGCAAGAAATAAGCCTGGCTCTTAAAATCAACGAATTTTTAAATATCGCAAACAAGGTCTTACCCAGTGAGTTTGATGGAAGCGCAGGTAAACTGCAGTCATTTTTAGATACATTAGAACTCCTTGAGAAAACAGCGATAGGGCACGAGGATACAGCGATAACATTAATCAAAATAACATTAATCAATAAGGCCAGAAACCTTATAACTGCAGATGATACAATTCCAAGAATAGCGGCGGCACTGAAGGGAGAACTGACAGGCGACAATCCAAAGACGGTAATAGATAAATTGGCGAAGAAAAGACAAGGACATAAAGATGCAGCGGTCTATGCATCCAAAATTAAAAAATTACCAGAACAGCTTAAAGTTTCATACATAGCGAAAGGAATTCCATTGGAACTAGCGAAAAAATATACAACGGAAACTGTAGTTGCAACAATGAAACGCAAAGTCCACGCAGAAAAAGTTAAATTAATATCGGAAGCATGTAACGTCACAACCACGCACGAAGTAATGTCCAAATTTTTATCGATCGACACGACAGAAGATAGCACACAAGGAAAAGTGTTAAATTATAAGACAAATTACTAAGCCAAGAGAGGACAGCACCAGTATAGGAGAGGATATCACAATAAATATGACAAGGGGAGAAGACCTACCTTTGAACAACAAACTTAAGTAAAGGGAAACCAATAGAACTATACACACAGAGGGTATAGGCAATACAGTAACCAGGCATATAGAGGAAACCAGAGAGGAGAACATAATAGGAATGTTAGGCTACTAGAATTAGAATATAGCCAAGGGAAATCGAAAAATCCACACTTGGGGTTTTGAATGATCAAGATAACAGAAATACATAGTTAGAAGTGGTATATCACATTTACAACTTCGACTCAAACTTAACAAATTTTGTACAAATGAAAACAGGAATCCTAGGACAGACAAATACATTTATCATAGACACAGGAATCGATATTTCTATACTCAATTGCTCACAAGATTTTATGCAGGTGTATGTGAAACCAAACACAAAGGCGAAAATAAAAGAAGTAACTAAAGGAGCCTTGCAAACGATGAGAAAAATTGAAGCAACACTAGAAGTAAAAGAACGTTGATTTGAACATATATTTCAATTAGTAGAATCTAACTTTTCCAGTCCAACGGACAGGGTCATTGAGAGAGACTTCATTTCAAATTTTCAATGCATATTGGACTACGCTAATCTGAAAATGCACATTCAAGACGACGATACTGTTAGTACAAACATTTTAGATAACATAGATAATGACACGATAATAATACTGCCTAGATGCTTAATTTATAGAATAGTAAAAAAATTTCAAACAGTAAAGAACGACAGAGTAGTGGAACAACTAGAGATACTACCTGGAATATTCATAGCGAGAGCAATCATTTCAAACAATAATCCGTACATCAAAATTTTAAATACAACCTACGAAACGGTAAAGATAGTGACAAATACAATTAGAATAGTAGACATTAGATTGTTTAGCGTATATAGACTGATGAATGACTGTAAGGATAGGAAGAAGGAATTACGGGAATCAATTAAGTTAGATATCCCAAAATACACACGCGATAAATTATTGGTATCTTTATGTGAGGAACACTCAGATATATTCGCCCTAAGGCATAACATGCTAACATGTAACAACATCTACGAACAAAAACTCAGAGTGAAAGACCAAACACCAGTATACATTAAGAATTATAGGACACCACATGCTCAAGCAGAAGAGTTAAACAGACAAGTACAGAAATTGAGAGATCAAGGAATTGTAGAATCATCTACATCAGAATATAATACCCCGGTAGTGCTCGTACCAAAAAAGGCTGTAGATTGAAATAAAGCATAGAGATTATGCATATATTTAGACAATTTAACACGAAAATAGTCACAGACAAATTCGCATTACCAAGAATAGACTCAATACTAGATCAACTAGGAAGAGCAAAATGGTTTTCAGTTATAGACCTAATGTCAGGTTTTCACCAAATACGAGCGAGAATGGAGCATTTCAATTCACCAGATTACCTTTTGGGTTAAACGTAAGTCCAAATAGCTTTTAAAGAATGATGTCAATAGCTTTTTCAGGTTTAACCTCGAACAAAGCATTTCTTTACATGGACGATATAGTAGTATTAAGAATATCAGAAAAGCATCATTTAGAGAACTTAAAAACGACATTTGAGACATGTCGAAATTTCAACCTGAAACTTAACCCAGGAAAATGTCAATTTTTTAGAAGAGAAGTCACATATTTAGGACATGATCTTTGTCAGGAAGGAGTATCACTATATAAAGCAAAATATGCAACGATTGAACAATATTCGAAACCTAAGAGAGCAGAAGAGACAAAAAGATTCGTAGCTTTTTGTAACTACTATAGACGTTTTCTTCAAAATTTTGCTGAAATATGCATACCACTAAACAGATTATCGAGGAAATGGGTAGATTTTTTTGGTTTAAGGAATGTGAAAAACCAACAATCCATTTTGGCAGTAGACGCATCCAACGAGAATTGTCCAGCAATTTTAAGTCAAAACTAAAATGTAATAGACCTACTGATAGCATACGCATCAAGAAGTTTTTGTAAAGGAGAATGTAATAAACCTACAATCATCAAGGAATTACTAGCAATTCATTGGGGAATTAACCATTTCAAATATTATTTATATGGAGCACCAACATTTTTGGTAAAGACGGATCATAAACTCTTAACACACCTACTTTCAATGAATGAACCTACCTCAAAACTTACGAGGATCAGACTAGATCTATAGTAATACGACTTTGAAATAGAATATATAACAGGGAAAAATCTTAAAAAAAATTATTGAAAAATATAGAAATATACATATGCGAAGTACCAGAAACAATAGAGGACGACAAAGAAAAACGTAGGATAATGGAGGAGGAGGTAGGAGGTCATGTAGGAAATAATAGGCTAATAAAGAAACTAAAGGCAAAATTCAAATGGAGAAACGTGGAAAAAGACGTAAGTAAATACATTAAACAGTGTCATAAATGTCAAACAAACCAAATAAACCTAAATTAACAAACCGAAAAGACTACATGTCGAGGAATTCGTGATATCGGACACTTCTTCAAAACCATGGGACATAGTGTTCATAGACACGATAGGTCCATTCTCTAGAAGCAATAAGGCAAAAATTGGTGACAGGAAAGAAATAAGTTAAAAACGACGCCACAACACTTCCAAATAGGAGACCTAGTCCTAGTCAAAAGAGAAGAGAATTGTAAGTTTGATAGTCTTTATGCAGGTCCTTTCATACGAACAGAGCATAAAAATAGGCTATACGCATACAGTCCAAAAACACAGTAAATTAAGTGATATGTGTAAACGGGAATAATTATATGATATTGAACGTTTTTTGTTATTAGATATAAGGAAATATGTACCAAAAATTTGTATATCATTGTATAAATATTTATATGTAAATAGTGAACGTAAATAATGTATGTATGTACAGTAATCAGTTGATAATGACATGAAAAATTTTCTTCTTAACATAGTAAAAATAGTTTATGTAATTGATTGAAAACGAACAGCACCCAGAAAATTTTTCTTCTAAGGGATAGGGATGTAACGGGATTTTATTAAGCATCAGATCTAAATAACCTAATTCAGTTTAAAAATTTAAAACCATTTATGGTTTATAACATTAAACTTTTATTGCTAAACGCGATTGTTTGTTTATGACATTGAAAATATCAGTGTAACTTGAACGCACGCTGACTTAGTGAAGTTTTCAATGTAATCAAAAGCTTATTAAATAATGTGTACATATTATATTAGTAAAACAATATTATATAAACAAACGCACGTGAGTTAAATAGCTGCAAAATAACGGGAGTAGAATTATTATTGTTAAGAATTAAGAATGAAGAGGTAATAGTCGAAGCTAGTGTTATCATCCATCAACTGAGTACCATCTCTCTATTATTGTACTTAGAGAACTAATAAAGTAATTATGAGTATCTAGTGAGTTCTAGTTAATCAACCATAATACACGTTAGAGTTCCACTATATGAATGAAAGCAATCTCATAAACGTTATAAGAATATACAACAGTATTATAACCGCATTGAATATATCTATCTATCTACCTCGTCTCTTAAATACAAGAAATTTGTACTCTCCTTCTTTTAAACTTATCTACCAAATCCATACTCTTACCTTTAAGACTTATAATCTATATAATATATAATCTATATAATCTCTATAAGTTTGTGTGTGTTTATTTTTATTTGTGTGTCAGTGAGCGCATCTGTATACGCGTATTCTAATTGGTATATTTCTATGTATTACCATGTATGTATGCTTATATTTAAGTATGTATTTAATTGTATGTATGATTACAGATATCAATATATCAATATCTATTTTTTATGTTTACTCTTATCTTGAAGCTTTTAATCCTAAAAGCTTTAATCGTATATCTTATATAAACACTTACCTATAAATATGAGAAAATTCTGGATAATCGGCACCATCGGTATTATTAGTACAAAAGCATTTATCTGTTAACCATTTGACTAAATTCCTATCATCGTTTTCTTTCCATGCGGAATATTTCTCGCGTAGATTGTCTCTGATCGTATGAATCCTACCAGAAAACCCTTGATACTCGTATAATTTTTCCGCCATTTAAACTATAAACTATCACTCCCAAAAAAATATTTTTTCTTTTTGATTATTATATGACAATATTGATTCTAATTGAATGTGGATGACATGACTGAAATGTTAAATACAGGAATAAATCTTCGCAATTGGATTGCGCAGCAATTACGGAACCTTCTTTTTAATTTAATTATAAAGTTCTACACCAAGAAGTAGTAATATTCACAAGTTTTTAGTGTTTATTTTTCAATATTATTATTGCATTTGAAATGATATAAAATTACGTTGTTTTATTAATTAAAATAAAAGTTTTAGATTACATTATTTAGTATAGGAAGTTATATAGAAATACAGAAAGAAATGAATGGCTATAAACCATGTCTCATATTTATTAACTAACAAAGAACTAATTGTGCTATCAGGTGGCGCATACTCAGAATAATCTATTTGTTTTTTTTTTAATTATTTGACACTAAAAACAATTATTTAATCGACCTTATAAACAACATGTTAGTTTTATAATAATGTTACGATAATTATGGCGTTTATAACTATCAATATATTATGACTAATTCTGTTTTCTGTTCCAGTAAATTCGAAGTTGTTTACAGAAACCTTTAGACCCTAATTTTATGAGTAATCCACGTCTCGAGGCTTTTCAAACAGTTGAAAAACGAGTCGAGCGCCTTCACCAAAATACGAGATTATTCAAGAAGTTCAAGAACTTTCGAGATGACAACAGTTGTGTATATAAACGAAAGATTTTTTATTTGGCAGTCAGTCATAAGAAGATCGGAAAACGCGATTTAATTGTAACGAAACATAAATAAATTATTTGTAATATAAATTAGGATTAATAAAGACTTTAATAAATTCGTAATTAGTTATCGTGAGTTTTAATAAATTAGAATATAGACAATAAATTAGAATAAAGACAAATAAATTAGAATTATATAAATATACAACAGTGGTGTCGGTGTGAAATTTGAATATAAATTCAACAGCGATTTTTGAAAAAGACTTTTGAACTTTTGAAAAGTATTGTTCGTCGGGAACATCCGCGTAGTTCGGTAGTGATCGTTGTACGAAAGAACATTTCAAAAAGTACGTGTGTGCCTGACCAAAGATGCTGCTAGTAGAACTTTCAGTGAAACAGTTGCGTGAGCAACTAGAAGAACGCGATGAAGACTGCAGAGGGTCCAAGAAGATACTACAAGAACGACTGAAGACTGTTCTTAACAAGAATGGAGAAGACCCAGAGACATTCCAGTTCCAGTCAGCAGAAGAAGCAGTTTTAACAAAAATAATTGATGGAAAGTTTGAGAATGTCTCAAAAATGATTGAAGAATCTTCTAAAACACATGATAATAAATTAGAGAACGTTTCCAAAAGATTCGATGAAACATTCGAAAATATGTCTAGAAGATTCGACGAAGTATGTATTCAGAATAGTGAGAAGTTTGAAGAAGTCTCTAAAACATTTGATAAAGTTGAAGAGAAAATCAAACAGTTAGAGACCATGATAACTAACACGAGAGTGCTACCACCAATTAATACGGTAGCTTTAGATCCGGTAGAGATAAAAGAAGACAAGACGAAATGTAAGTTGGAAACACGGCCGAAATTTGAAGGAAGCGGAGGTTATGTTCATGTCAAAGTTCTAACTTTCGACGGAAAATCGTCATGGAACAATTACATGAAACAGTTCGAATCAGCTGCAAGAGCGAATGGATGGTCAGAAAAAGAAAAGGCTGTAAACCTGACTATAGCTCTTCGAGGAGATGCCTTAGATGTGCTCCAGACCATAGCCGTAGAGGAGACGGATGATTTCGAACAACTGAAGAAGAGGTTAAATATGCGATATGGCCACGAACACTTGGAGCATGTATATCAGTCGCAGCTCAAAAATCGAAGACAAAAGAAAGATGAGGCTCTTCAAGAATATGAAGTAGATATTGCCAGATTAGTGCGATATGCTTATCCAACAGCTCCCGAAGACATGATGGAAAAGTTGGCCATTCAAACGTTTATTGATGGTCTTCGTGATCATGAAATGCAGAGAACACTACGATTAGCTCGCCACAAGACGCTGATGGATGTCTTATCTGCCGCCCTCGAATACGAGTCAGCTACGCAGGCCTCTGGCGGGTATAGCAAAGTTAGGACTGTAAAAGAGGAAGGAGATGAAGATAAACTTGACCAGCTCGTTAATATGATGAAAAGCATGACATATAAGAAAACGAAGACCATAAGATGCTGGAATTGTGGCGAAATAGGACACGTACGAAGTTCATGTAAGCATCCTAGGTACGACACAAATCAAGAAACTCACCATCAGGAAAACTAGAACGGGTCGGCCTTAGGGGGGCAGCTTCTACCCAGAACTTTTCCAAAGACCCTCTCATACTAATAGCTTCTTTGAAATGTCGTGAATATAGTGTATATGTAGATGGAGCAATAAATGCTAAAAAGCCTACGTTGTTGGTGGATACCGGAGCGACAAGAACCATTATTCGCCTGACAGTTATAAACAGCCATAAGAAACTGTTACCAACGAGGTTGCGACTGCGGACCGCTACAGATGAAAATGCCAACATTCATGGAGAAATCCAGGTACAATTAGGAATTGGAACAGAAAAGTTCGTCCATACTGTTATAGTTGCTGACATCGAAGAGGATGTTATATTAGGAATGGACGTAATGAATACGCATGGATTCCAATTGGATTTTAAGAATAAGGTAATCAAAGTTGGTAACGAGGAGGTATTTCTCCATCCACATGATGACAACACTATGCAACCAGCCGTTAAAGAAGATACAGTCGTGCCTGCGAGAAGTGAAACGATAATAGTAGCGCGGCTACAGGGAATTGTGGACGAAGGAACACCTGTTATGATGGAGCCTTGGAATCATGACGACGAAGTTGGCCGTGGAATCATAATTGGAAAAGAATTAGTGACTTCGGCTAAAGAAATTCCTGTGAGACTTATTAATGTCAATGACTACCCAGTGACCATCAAGAAAGAAACAAAAGTAGGAACTTGTGTACCTGTCACATCCATAATTCGTCAGACGACAACGTCTGATAATTCCAACGATAAATTTGATCAAATGGTTGCGGTTGCTGGACAGTCTCTGAATCAGATTGAGAAAAGGAAATTAAATGAATTTCTTCGGCAGTATCGTGATATTTTCGTACCGAAAGGAGGAAAGACGGGAAGAACTACCGTTGTTAAGCATAAAATTGATACTGGTAATGCTAAGCCAATTCGTCAAACAGCTCGACGATTACCACAGGCGAAAAGAGAGGAAGCTGAAACGATTGTTCAGGAAATGAAGAAAGACGGGGTGATAAAACCTTCTACGAGCCCATGGGTCTCTCCGGTGGTCCTGGTTAAGAAGAAAGACGGAAAAACGAGGTTCTGTGTGGATTACCGTTTGCTGAACAACGTTACCAAGAAAGATAGTTATCCTCTGCCTCGGATCGATGACACATTAGACACATTGGCGGGAAGTAAATTATTTTCTACTTTGGATTTGAAGTCTGGATACTGGCAGGTAGAAATGGACCCGGTAGATAAAGAAAAGACAGCCTTCACCACAGGATCTGGATTATGGCAATTCAACGTTATGCCATTTGGACTTTGTAACGCTCCTGCGACATTTGAGAGGCTTATGGAAAATGTGTTGAGAGGGCTATCTTGGAAAACATGCCTAGTTTATCTAGACGACATAATCGTCTTGGGGGAGACATTTGAAGACCATCTGAAGAATTTAGAAAACGTTTTTAATCGACTTAAAGCTGCCCAATTGATGTTAAACCCAAGAAGTGCCAGCTATTTCAAGGTAAAGTCAATTATCTGGGTCACATAGTCAGTAAAGAAGGAGTGGCCGTGGATAAGCGAAAAATCGATTCTATTAAGGAATGGCCAAAACCAACTGACAAACACCAAGTGAGAAGTTTTCTGGGACTATGTACTTACTACCGGAGGTTTATTAAGAAGTTTGCAGATATCGCTAAACCATTAACGCGACTTACAGAGGAAGCAAGAGAATACCGCTGGGATGTAGACTGCCAGAATGCCTTTGAGACCTTAAAAAAGCATTTAATCACAGCACCAATTTTAGGGTATCCACTGCCAGAAGGAGAGTTCATCTTAGATACAGATGCAAGTAATGTGGGAATTGGAGGAGTGCTGTCTCAGATTCAAGGAGGACAGGAAAGAGTCCTTGGATATTTTAGTAAAGTTCTCTCAAAACCTGAGCGAAATTATTGCGTCACGAGAAGAGAACTTCTGGCAGTAGTGAAATCAGTAGAGCACTTCTATCAATACCTCTATGGAAGGAAGTTTTTAATCCGAACCGACCATGCCGCCCTTAAGTGGTTGATGCAGTTTAAGAATCCAGAGGGTCAGATAGCCAGGTGGATCGAACGACTCCAAGAATATGATTTTAAGATTGAGCACCGGGACGGAGTTAGCCACCGAAACGCTGATTCTCTTTCCAGAAGGCCATGTCCAGCAGAGTGTTCTCACTGCAACAAAACGGAATCCAAGGAAGCAGCAGTGCTAAGAACGACGGTGGTCCACGACGACTGGACGCCTACCAAGATCAGGGAAGAACAAGAGAGAGATCCAGTTATACAGAAAATCCGAAAATGCAAAGAGGAAAACCGTCGACCACCTTGGCAAGAAATATCGAACCTAGGCTCAATAGTTAAGACGTATTGGGACCAGTGGGACTCATTTATTATGGAAGATGGCTTGCTCAAACGAGTCCTGGAAAATGATGACGGTTCAGAGAAGAGAAGACAGTTGGTGATTCCAAAGAGCAGAATAGCCGAAGTACTTCGTCAGTTACACGACAGTCCATCAGGAGGGCATTTTGGTGTGAAAAAGACCCTTCAGCGAATTCGGGAACGGTTTTATTGGATGAACAGTTCCGACGATGTGAAAGACTGGTGTAAGAAATGTACTATTTGTGATACGAGTAACGGGCCTTATCGAAAAAGGAGAGCTCCTATAAGACAATATATTGTTGGAAGCCCGTTTGAAAGAATAGCTTTGGACATTTCTGGGCCATTTCCAGAAAGTGATA